GCTTCGTTCCCTACTCAGGGAACCATGGTTACATAAGTAACCTGAGACGTTTCCCTGCATCTCCCTGCTAGGCCCACCACATAAGTGTTCAGACCCTTATGCAGCAAAGCAGTGTTAAACCATGATACTCCATCCACCATGCTTCACAGTTGGGAAGAGGTTTTGGAATTGCAGGGTTGAGGCACTTTTTCCTCTGAACAAAACATTGTGCATTTTTGACAAAATGGTTAACTTTTGCCTCAGCTGCCCATGGGACATTTTCCCAGAAGTGTTCTGGAACATCCATGTGGTCTTGGGCAAACATGAGACATGCTTCAATAATTTTGGCAGCTACTTTTTGTCCTGAACATCACTGAACAGCATTCTTCACCGTCTTTCTGATAGTGGATACATGGGGGGGGGGGGGGGGTGTGTCTGAGTTTTCAGGGGGTCTTTTGCTGTAGCAACAGTCCAGAATTTCTACATTTGTAGACATGGTCTCTTCTTGTGAGATTCCTGAACACCCAGGTCTTTAGCAATGCTTTCCTATAGCCTTTCCCATCTTTGTGTATCTGCATTTTAAGCTGCATTTGGATCAAGGCATGATTCACACTAAATAAGAAGACCAGATTGTCAGTAGCCAGGCTTTGTGTTTCTTTATTTTAAGAGCAGTGCACCTGTGCAACCCATACTTCCAGTTTTTAATTAACTGACTATCTTGACTTAGCTTTTGTAGCATTTTAAGCTGCATTTGGATGAAGGCATGATTCACACTAAATAAGAAGACCAGATTGTCAGTAGCCAGGCTTTGTGTTTCTTTATTTTAAGAGCAGTGCACCTGTGCAACCCATACTTCCAGTTTTTAATTAACTGACTATCTTGACTTAGCTTTTGTAGAAGTCATAACACAGAGTATTACTTAATTTTTCCAGCCTGCTCTGTTATTGATCACTAAATGTCCCGGATAAAATAAATAAATAAATGTCTTTATCTGTGACTTAGATGAAGGTCAGACCACATTTTATAATAAAAAATATGCTAAAATTCAGCACTGATTACAAAAAATAATAATAATAAATAAAAATCAATCCCACTTTATATTAGATGGCCTTAACTACTATGTACTATACATCAAAAAATAAGTAAAATGTACTTATTGTGTTCATATTATATTGCAAAACATTTACTGCTAGTGAGGTGCGATAAGGGTAAGGTTAGGGAAAGATTTGGTGGTATGGGTTGGTTAAAGGGTGGGTTAAGATGTAAGGGATGGGTCAAAAGTATAAATAGAAATGTAATTATAGAAATTAATTACAGATGTAATTACATGAAGGTATTTTTTAAATATAAGTGCAATGTAAAAAAATATGTGCTGTATGTAAACAATAGATGCATTGTATCAAATTATTAATTTAAATGTATGTACATACTGTATAAGTTAAGGCCACCTAATATAAAGTGGGACCAAAAAATAATTTTTAAAGTGTTAACAAACTTACCATTGTATATAATAATTATATATGCCCTCAAGTACTGTGCTACCCTTTATTACCACATAACAAAAATATTAAGGACATTTTATGAAGGAAATTCAATCACTTTCCACTAAAAGGTTTAGTTCTTGACATATAAAATTGTGCTAGTATTGTAATCTATTGGCACTGCACAGTGATACACACAGTACAGTAGCTGTGGTTTTTCACAATGTTTCTGTGGTGTATTTTAACATTTGACCATTCAGCAACCAAGAGCTGTTTTATAAGGTTTTATATGAAAAGTATGAGGTTCTCTTATAAATCATCTTGTGTGCAGTTGCAATCTTGATTTCATATATCAAGATAGGAACTGTGCTCAGTTTAAATGTGTAAACATTGTTTGACCAAAGTCTACCATCTATATATATATATCTAGATGGAGCATGTGATGATGGACGGTCATTCCCAACCCATTTGCCTGGAAGCTGGAGTTAAAGCCGACAGCATCTTCCTTAAGGACTGTGATCCTATCAATACTTTTCAGAAATGGCAGTTTACACACTACTACGCTGAGTGAGGTGCTCCAGAATATCACTCACATATTGTCCATAACAACTTTCACCTCTGTGCATAGATTTGTAATTTTGTTTTTGTTTTTGTTGTTGTTTTTTTAATAGCATATGTGTGGTTTGATGAGAGTGTACTTTATGCACTTTGTATAATACAGATATGGTTTTTGACATTCTGAATCATAAGGGTTTGAGGTTCACATCAGGGAATCAGGTCTTCTTTTTTGCATAATCCAGGTTATTTGTATTTTATGATTTGCTTGGGAAATACTGGTATGGATAGCAAATGATACACAGGATTTTCTACAACAAAAAACATTTTGAAGTACCCTTATGATATTTTCACAATAAAGTTCTTGTTCCTTGTAAACACAATGATTTCATTTTTTATATCTTGTTCAAGTCATTATGAAATGACCGACTTTACTATCATATTGTGACATATTTGCAAGTGAAGAAAACAATTTATTGGATTGTGGAAAGTGAGTGGTGCATACCTATAAGTGCCCCTATTGGCCAGACGACCCTGTCCAATGCCGTGGCAGAAGGTTTCCTGCATTCCTTCTGTCCTTTATGTGCACTACTGTGAATAACACTTGAGTTATTGCAGTTTAAGTTATTCTAATTAATACATTACTTTCTGACTCTATTTTATCATGACCTTGAATTTGGTTTGGAACTCCAAATCCCAAATAAATTATTGGTCATATGATCATTTATCTTGACATTTTTGATTATGCAATTACCATCACTTTAGATTATGCTCATTCATTCAGATTCCAATAACCCTCATATGTATGTGGATCTCACAGTCACAAACTCACTAGTCACAAACTCACTAGTCTTGGTCATTAAATATAGGTAATTGACTTATACTTCTGTTTGCAATGACCACTACTGGTCACAACTACTACTGTTTGCAAACTAGACCAATATTACCTTTTTTAATAGCAACTTTACATAATCATGCCATTGATTCCCATATATACACTTATCCACAGTAGAAGAACATTACAATAATCAGAGTTAGACATCACCCTATTTAGATTGGTCGATGTTGTCCTAAATGGAAATTCCCTTAGAGCCTGGACATTCTAAGTTCACTTAAGCCAATTCACTAGCTGAAGCTGGTACTGAAAAGCCTGTATGTTCATTCATTGTGTGTGTACTGTATATCTCTTAAAGGATCAAATGTTACAACCTTACATAACAGAATGGAGGCAGATCTGAATGTAACTGCAGTGTGGCTTTGTGTAGGTCAGCGGAGAGGAGTCATATCACAGTAAGAACAAGTGGCATAACAGTTTTAAATGAATATTCTGAGGTTAACAAAGAATTAAAAATGGATGACTTAAAAATTACTTTTTTGACATAAATGACTTATAAACTTAGTTGTCCACTTGTTCCTATTCCATCTCATCTCCTTCAAACCATTTCTCCTACAATTGTACCTGCACTTACTCACATCATTAACACATCCCTTCACACTGGTGTTTTTCCCTTAGCATTTAGACAGGCTCGTATAACCCCAATACTTAACAAACCCACCCTTAACCCATCTCTTAGAGAACTACAGACCCCTACTTCCCTTCTTCCTTTCATTGCAAAAACACTTGAACGAGCTGTGTTCAACCAAGTCTCTGCCTTTCTCACACAGAACAACCTCCTCGACAGCAAACAGTCTAGTTTCAGAAGTGAACATTCAACCGAGACTGCCTTGCTCTCAGTTGTTGAAGCCCTAAAACTGGCAAGATCTCAGGCATCTCAGGAACCGCACTCCAGTGGTTTGAGTCTTACCTCTCAGATAGGTCCTTCAAGGTATCTTGGGGAGGTGAGGTGTCCAAGTCGCAACCTCTAACTACTGGGGTGCCTCAGGGCGCAGTTCTTGGACCACTTCTCTTCTGTCTACATGGCATCACTAGGCTCTGTCATTCAGAAACATGGCTTTTCATTTCACTGCTATGCTGATGACACTCAACTCTACCTCTCATTCCATCCTGATGATCCGACGATAGCTGCTCGCATCTCAGCTTGTCTAACTTAAGACCAGTAACCTGTTAAGCATGCACAAAACCTCATGAACTATCAGAATCGTCAGCCATTAGGGCTACCACCGAACTTGGTCAGCATGATTCCATGATGGTAATGGAGTTTGGGTTCCATGCCACTTTTGCCTTGGCTTATCAAGCTGGGGCCTGAAAAAAAACATAATTTGAAATCTATTGATATGACCGCATTGACATCACCAGATGATAACACAAATTGAACTCAATTCAGCTGGATCATAGAACTCTTTTTCTTTCTTAGAGGTGCTTTACAGCATCTTGCAACATCAACAGTGTTTTTAACTGAACTGAATCAACATTTGAGCTGACTTTTGTAGAAAAAGTCAGAGTAATTGAACTCAATTCAAAATTGATTAACTTCACACTGTTGGGAATTCATCTCATTCCCTCCACCAGGGCACAGAGGTTACACTAAAGACACACCAAGACATTCCCTATCTGTCACTCACTCAACATTATGTCAGTGTAGTGACCTTAGGGGCCCCTATACTAAACGCCACAGCAGCTGAACTGGTTTATGAGGTTCAGTGGTTCAGATCCAAGCAGGCCAGAGTGTGCCTAATAAAAAGGGCAGCCAGGCCATGTCATAACCTTCCCAATGCCTCAAGTAAGTTATTGTACTGTAATTCCCCGTATCCTGAGGAGCCACTAGTCAAGTCAAGTAACTTTTATTTATATAATGCTTTATACAGTATGGATTGTAAAAGCGGCTTTACAGTGTCAAACAGGAAAATAGTTTGTCAATAATGCAAGAGGACAATAACAAAGAGTCATTTTTTCAGTTAAAGTCAGTTCAATTCATTGATGATTCAGTGACGTCATCATCCATTTCAGCTCTTATCCAATCTTTCCCCAACTAAGCAAGCCAAAGGTGACAGTGGCAAGGAACGAAAATTCCATCGGTGACAGAAATAGAGAAAAAAAAAAAAAAAACTTTGAGAGAAATCAGGCTCAGTCAGGGGGCCAGTTCTCCTCTGGCCAGATAAAACCAGCATGGCGAAACCAGCATGGCAGGAAGGACCAAACTTACATTGCGAATAGGTTGCTTTAGCCATTTCTTCTGGGAAAAATGCTATTTTTCCTATGCAGAAAAAGGACACTGCAGAGACCACATCCTGCTCTGAGGGAGGTTAACATGTGAAGAATACATCACATGGACTAACTTATGGAAATAAGTCTGTAGTGGGCTCTGCCTGAGAAGGGAGAAACTCACTCTCACAGTGACTGGAGGCAGAGCAAGGCTGTTTCATCTGACTGTTTCATACACTCCACACTATGTATCCTTTTGACTTCAGGTATGCATCTTTTACTCAGATTTATCTTTGAGATTTTGATGTCTTGTATTGATTATCTCTGAACTGACTATGTAATTGATAGTAATATGTAATTGACTAATAATAAATTGTTACATTTTATATTATTCTGATATACCCTGAAATTATTTTCTCAAGTAGATTAAATGAAGGTGTACGTCACCGTACAATCTGCATCTAGGGTTAGCGCATAGTAGATCTCAGGTTAGATGAAGCAAGAGGAAGTACTGTTGTAGCAAGTATGGACAGTATACTTCATACTAACCATAACCTCTGATTTTTGTTATGAGTTTATCTAAGTTACTGTAGGGGGCTAAACACACAAAGGGGATTTAAAGAATGGCAAGCATGGGCAGCCTATTAAATAGTGTTAGTCATAACCCCTGGCCAGAGATCAGACTGGCGAGTTTGTGATTGTAAGATCCACATAAATGGCCAACGTGAACGCCCAGGAAACCCTCAGCCACCACTGGATACCTTTGTCGGGCCAACTGGGTGGACTGTTTACTATTGTCCTCCTGAATTATCGACACACTATTTACCTGTTTAACACTGTAAAGCTGATTTGACACAATCATTATTGTATAAAGCGCTGGTGACTTGATTTAACTTGCATTAACTTACATGGGTTTACTGATAGGGAATCAGCCCATATGGACCACTTAAAGTGAAAAGAGAAAAAAAGAAAAGAAAAGTGTGTTGTATCGCATCCCCTATAACTCCTGAGAATAGAATGGCTCCATAAGAATGGTTCTGTGTCTGGCATGTTTGACTGCCTGTGTGACATGAAATGTTGGATGGACATGAACTTCTTACAGCTAAACAACAACAAAACCGAAATTGTTATCTTTGCCCCACCAGATTTGACCTCTGACATAGTTAATCAGCTTGGATCTCCATCTTCAAATGTTCATGACTGTCAAAAATCTTGGTGTCATTTTTTATTCCAATTTGAGTTTCGATAAGCAGATTAGTGCTATTGTTAAAAGCAGTTTCTTTCAGCTAAGATCTATTGCCAAAATCAAGATGATGCTTTCTAAGAAAGACCTTGAAACTGTTATTCATGCATTTATCACCTCAAAGTTGGATTATTGTCCTAATGAAAGTTGGCCTAATTCACCTGTAAATCATGGTTAAAAGATGGTTAAAAACACAGCAGCCAGGCTATTGACTGGCACTAAAAAGTGTCAGCACGTTATTCCTGTTCTTACCTCTCTCCACTGGTTACCGGTTAAGTCCCGGATTGATTTTAACATTTTGCTTTTTGTTTATAAAGCTTTACATGGGCTTGCCCCTCAGTATATCAGTGATCTTCTTGTCCCGTACAAAACCTCAAGATCCTTAAGTTCTTCCAATCATCTTCTTCTTTCTGTTCCTTGCTCACGTTACAAAACTAAAGCTCCCAGACTTTGGAACAGTCTCCCTCTCAATATTAGATCTTTCTCTTCTGTTTCTTGTTTTAAATCTTCCCTAAAAACCTATCTGTATTCTTTATGTTTTAATTGAGGGTGTTTATATGTTTACATTTGTCTCCAAGGTTTTGATCCAGTGTGTTAATTCTGTTTTCATTTTGTTCTAATTTAGTTTTAATACCCCTGTACAGCACTTTGGTTGCAACTTTTGTTGTTTTGAAATGTGCTTTATAAATTAATAAACTAAACTAAACTAAACTAAACTGATGACTGACCCTAGACAGTAGAACGCATTTTTTTTTTAAATTAGGCCTAATTTTCTTCAAACACATGAAATATTGCATGCTTTTTAGTTAGGTAATTTCATCTGCATTTATACTTATACTTCATTTTTACTTAGATATAATTCATGGAAAATTTGCTGTGCTTAAGTGGAAGATTTCTGCCACCTGGTAGAAATACAAATACTATTGAAATGAATGTCATGATATTCCCACTATAACCACTAGATGGCAGCAGAGGATCATTCATTGTCTCATTTACCATTTCCACTCCGTAATATAGCTATTTTCA